CCTTCTTCAGAAATTAAAGAGATTTTTACTATGTGGGGTAAAATGGAAAGGGTTTTGGAGAAACTCACCCTAACAAGGTTGTTGCAAGCCAGGTTCGCAACATGTACAGTGACAAAGTCTTGGGCCATTTTTGGGAAGTGTTAAAGAGATGCCAGAAACAGAGCTCTCTCCACAGTTATTTTGTGAGACAGGACTCCAGTGACTCTCAAGGTGGTCCTAGTGGCATTAAGAAACAGAGAAGAGAAGAACCCAGAAAATGCAAATGGTAACCTGAGGTGTTGATGGAAGGGGTTTCCCTTCCAAACTATAAACAATTCACTCTCTCTCCTCCTCCAGTCTTCCATACACTAAGAAGAATCTCCAATAAAGGGAAGTGTTATGCTGTTAATGTTTCATTCATCATTTCCCATTGTATTGTTTATGTACTACATGCATATTTCATGTTTAAAAATTTTTTTGTTTTAATATTCTGGGTGTCAGGAACGGATTAATTGTATTTACTTATTTTTTATGGGGAAAATTGATTCGTAAATCGTTTAAAATTTTGTTTATAGTAACGGCTCCCGGAACGGATTAATTACGAACAAAGAGGGACCACTGTATATATATATATTTTTATATATTATATATTTTATGGAATAAGATCACAGTAAACAGGTGATTTCAAATATGAAAACACCCTCTGAAAGAATAGAGAAAATTTCCCAAACGCTTTCGTGACTACTCACATTATCCGTGATAATGTGAGTAGTCCGAAAGCGCTTGGAATTTTCTATTCTTTCAGAGTGGTTGTTTTGCATATATATATATAATATATATATATTATAATATATTTATATATATATATATATATATATATATATATATATATATGTGTGTATATATTATATATTTATATATATTGTGTGTGTGTGTGTGTGTGCTTGTTGTGTGTGTGTGTGTGTGTGTTAGTTACCATTTGGTCCTAGGCACATGTCGATTAGACACTAGGCCCGTTGTATGTGCATGCATGTGTGTGTGTGTGGTGTGTGTGTGTGTGTGTGTGTGTGTGTGTGTTGTGTGTGTGTGTGTGTGTGTGTTGGTGTGCGCGCGCACGCGTGTCGTGCCGAATTTGAAAAAATGGTCATTAGCAGGAACTCATTAAAATTAAGTCCTTTTAAAATTTTCTTTATACGTTTAAAGATATATTTTTTTCATTAATGTTGATGTAAAAATTTTTTAAATTTTTTCACCAAAAAGGAACTTAGAAAACTTACCTAACCTTATTATAACAAAAGCAATTTATTTTGGCTAACCAACTAAATATATTTTAGATTTGTTACAAAAATTTAATACAAAACAAAAAGTGAATTATTTTTTTTGTTAGGTTCGGATGTTTTTGGCGAAATTATTGATCAAATTTTTCACTTGTTTTTTTGGGAAAGATGACGTTGCTTTTTAAAGCCAAGTCGAAAAGTTCGCCTATTCGGCAGACTTTATTATATATTTTTTATATATAATTTTTTATATTTTTATATATTATATATAATTTTTTAATATTATTAAAACACTGATTTGGCGAAGGAGACTCGAACCTACGAACCCTTGGAAAGGGTGTGAGGTTCGAGTCCCCTTCAGCCAGAGATCTTTGTTTGTGTATATTTCGCTGCTCTCGCAAATTTCCCTTTGCATATTATAGTTTTTCTACTTCTCATTTTTTAGTAAATGTTTACAAAAGGGGGTTTATCCCCTTGCCCCCGGCATTTTCTTCCCCTATACGCACGCTGGCTTACGGAGGAAATTTTTTTCCCCCTTCCCATGGAAAATAGAGAGAGAAAACAAGAACAAGAGCTTTAAAAAAAAGAAGAAAAACCCTAGATGGTGTATGTGTATTATGCAGGGGATGCCCGTGTGTGTGACCTAAGTGTAAGTAGAAGTGCAAGAAAACCGTATCCAAGTGTTTATGAGCAGAAAAAAAAACACCGCAAAACCTCCTCATGTAAAAACAGTTACGGTTTTTTGTTCCCCAATTTTTCCGGGCAGTAGTACCTCCCGGGTGGTTGCTGTCTACCAAAATATCCTAAACTAAAACCTCTCTCTTTAAAGGGGGGTTTTTAATGTTGCGTTTTATAAGTGTAAGGGCCCCCCTTTGGGAAGACAGTTTTTTTTTTCGGCACCGTGCCTTGGTGGGATCGGCCCATGTGTTAATTATATATATATTTTTATATATTATATAATTATATATATATATTTTATATTTATATATATATATATATTATATATTATTAATAGGGGCCCCGCAAATGAGTGCATTTTTTGTGTGTTAAGTAAATTAAAAACCTTGTTGGGACAGGAATGGGGGATTATCCCACCAGCGTTTTTCTTGTCATTAATGGTTGAAGGTGATTTGTTGTGTAGTCCCCAGTCAATGTACGACCAAAATTTTTTTGCTGCGTGGGGAGAACCGATGATCAAAAGTTTAGTGGAAATTTAAGCTCTGTTCCCAGTGCATGTAGTAGGTTTTACCTACATTGTGAGTGAGTTTGTTAGTAGTATCCAGGTAAATTTTTTTGTAGCTTGTCATTAAGTGTTATGGGGCGTTGCGGATTTGGTGGGAGAAGACATAAGTAGGTCATCTGCGAACAGAAAAAGGGTTTTAAAGGGATGAGATGCGTCGGGGAGATCGTTGATGTAAATGAGAAAGAGCAGAGGGCCAAGGACGCTCCCTTGGGGCCCGGGG